TCCCGCAATGTCAAAAATCACATCGCTTGATTTGCCGTTGACATTGAGATCTCGCCGTGTCTCGCGCGAGCGGCAGATAATCCAACAAACGGGACTTGTTGCCTGTCCATCTATACACGGTCCATGGTGAAATTAACCAATAGGAGAAATTCCCTGTTTTGAAAGAATTTGACCGTAAAATACAATAACTTTATAGTTTTATTGTGTAAAAGTGCTTTAAAATATAAATAAGATTTGAGCTTATACTAAAAATGGTTGAATTCTTTGGGAAAAATGTCTTGCTAATCCAAAATCAAAACATGCAAAAACATATGAAATAACTTAATGCTAGGATTTGTGAAAGCCTGGTGTTGATTGTTCTACTTTTTAAAAAGGATCGTTTTATTCAAGGAAAATGTCTACTTGTAATCCAAATTTGGCTTTCGGAAATTGAAATTCAAAGAAGAGTTTTGGCAGGTGGAAATGTCCCACATTACCACATTGTTGTAGTATGGTGTCAAAATGACCCATGTATTGAATGGATGACATTTTAAATCCCCAAATTCTATTCCATTTCAAACTTTATGCAAAGGTCTAATATATATATGTATATATAAAATGTTATTAAACCAGTGTTAAAATCAGTTTGTGTTGGCATACCTTTTTTTTTTTTATCTTTTCATCATTTACTATGAAACAAAGTAGTGCAGCTTTGCGGTTGTGCTAATAATTTTGGATATATATAATATATATATATTTCATTATAAACATTGATAGTGAAATCTGCCAATAGTTTTGTAAATAATTGATTAAACCACGGTGAAACCAGAACACCAACTTATCAGATATGAACACATTATTGACAATCAGGCAGACATTTAAAGGAGTAAAACCTTTACTGGACGAGGAGATAATCAACCACAGGCTTATCATGTAAAGAAAAGAAAGATGGGGACGATTGTTTATCTAGAGACAGTTCATGTTGTTTCAACAGACAACAGTTTATTGGTTAAAGTTTATTGAGTGCAAATTCTTTGCGCTGCGGACATATTTAAACAATTCTCCCCGACCTCTTGGGATGATATTCTCACCGATGAATTGTCATAGTAAATTTTTGCCAAGTATTCTTGACATTTTCCCCAGAATTTACTGAAGTGAAATAAATGCTGTTCTTCATTGACAAAATTTAAAAAATCCCGAGAAATTTAAAGCTTTTGAAAAGAATTAGAAACATGTGTTGTACAACAAATGCTTAATGTGTTTTTTTTACTAAAACACAAAAATAAAATGTTTATGTTTTCGTCTACTTCTCATATACTTTTTTACAACGGTTGAAAATTGCACACATGGGTCAATGGATGGATTTGTCTTGTTTGCAATCGAAATCTTTCTGTTTATTTTGAAATTTTTCCATTCAGTTTTCCCGTCTTCATTAGCCCAGTCGGTGCAGAAAAGTAGCACATTGAATCCAGGTTATGGAAAAAGGTTGAACAAAGAATAAAGAGTTTGGTGATTTGGCTATTTTGAAAAATTCCTTTCAACAAATCCTTGACAAAGGTTTTTTTTTCTCTATGAATTTATTAAACATACATTATGCAAGAGCCAAATCTGCTTATTGCAGGTCTTTCTTTAGGCCTGAAATGAATGAAATGGGGTTTAACGTCCAACTGTTCTGCTCCGAACTGGGTTAATGAAGACGGGCATACGCCATACAGTGTGCTATGAAGGAACCACGTCGGAAAATCTGGATGAACTTTCTCAGCCAATGCAGGGATCGAACACCCGACCTCCAGGCTAGCAAGCCAGCATCTTACCCACTTATCCACCGTGATCCCCTCTTTAGGTCTGAAATGTTGTATCTTATGTGTCGGATCGTCACTGGGTTTGAATCCGATCTGCTGCTCAACGACCATTGATGATTAAATCAAAAACTGGATAATCGAGACTAGGTTTTTTGTCGTAACGACTTTGGTAATGATGACCGAAGCTAGGTCGAAAAATCAATCGCTTATATCTTGGTAGATAGTGGAGTAATTTGACTGCCATTTCATGTATATTATTATTCCCTTTAGATTATCTAGTTTTTAACTATTATAGTGCAAACTGTCAGCTCTTTATCTGATCTTCCATATTGTATCTTTAATTTTTTTCTATAATATTTATGTTGGATTGATAGATTACCAGGAAAGTGTTTTGTTCTGGATAAATCTTACAAATTTTGACTTGAACTAAGACTCAGAAACGACTGTCAGGAAGTGTTACGAGTTGTCTTAGTGAGCCTCATGCTCGCACACTAACCAAAAGATCCCAGTTTCTATCCCGGTGTTGGTCGTGAAAGTGTTTTCCCCTTGCCTGACAAAGACAGCTGTCTAGTCGTTTGGATGTGACGAAAAAACATGTATACATTGGCATGTACGTAAAAGATCCCTTGGCAGTTTGAATTCGATATAAGAGTGGGCTATAGTGCCGCTGCCCAGGCAAAATTTCTCTTATAGCACACTGTATGGCGTTAAACCCCATTTCATTTCATTTTTTCGTTTTCCCCTTGCTAGGGGTGCTGGAGGGAGGTGTGTTCAAGTTGGTGTGCACGTAAAAGAACCCTTTGCGGAATGTAAGACGTTAAGCCCAATTTCATTTTCCTTAAAGATACATTATGGGAGATTCGGTTACGAGTTGGCAGTTCTCACTATAATAGTTAAAAACTATATAAGGTAGAAGGCAATTTGGTGAAAATTTCATTCAAATTGATCCACTATGAACCGAGAACTAAGCGACTGAAATTCCCATAAGCCTCGGTCATCATTACTAAAGTCAGTACGATAAACAGCATAATCTCGATTATCCATTTAATCGTTTAATGAGAAGGAAAGTTATGCAGTAAATCGGCTTACAATCCACTAAAGATCGCAGGCTAGCGCAGCCATCTAGAGTTGATTATGGCCTGGATAGGTTAATTAATGTCTAATTAATAATTTAGATAACATTTCAGGCCTAAAGAAAGACCTGAAATAGGCAGATTTAGCTCTTGCATAATGCATGTTTAAACTCACGTCAGAAAAGAATACAATGTCATGACATATTCAAGGTGTTGGACCCAGTCGCTTTATTTGGGTTATGCTTGTAGTTTCAATTTCTTACTGTTATGCACTCAGAACAGAACACAGCTTTTTGAATTTTTGTCCACATGAAGGCTGTATAATTTTTCTCTGTTTTGTAATGTATGTTTAAAATGACCACAACCCTCGGTATGGGGTGAAAAGTAAATTGTTAATTGTTTGAAGTATTGATTTGTTTTGAGAACAGTTTAATCAGGAAAAAAAAAAAAAAAAAAAAAAAAACAGACATATCTAAATGAAAATTAAATTGAATGGAGCTAGTGCCAACAGAGAGTAAATAAACACATAAGATCAACCGAATTAGAGATTTAATCAATGTTTGTGTGGTTTTTTTTCGTTCTATATATATTATTTATTACCCCATTATTACATGTGGTGTTATCAATATTAAAACATCTAGTTGAATTGAATCTTTATTTTCAAGTAATATAGTAGGAATATTATATTTCATTTGTATTTACTGTAGTAACTTCATTACAACCAGTGGGTTGAGTGGTCAAATAATCTAACGTCTACGCTTAAGATCATGAGGTCTGTCATTGAGAAGGGTTGTCTGTCCAACCTCTTGGGTTCTTTCCGGGCCCTCTGGTTTCCTGCCACTGCTAAAGATCCCTATGCGCAAGCGAGCTATTAAAATAAAATTGAACCATATGTTAGTCCCGAAATGTTCTAGTTTGTGTTAAGTGAAGGTTAAACCCCATTTCTCTCTCTCTCTCTCTCTCTCTCTCTCTCTCTCTCATTATAATCAAAAAGTTACAGAAGTGATAATATATACACATTGTTTCTTTTTAACAGTCAGTGGATAGATAAATGACTGTTAAATTATATATAAAGACAGATTTATGAATGAAGTTAAAGTACTTGATTAAATACTTGGCTCATTGGTTCAATATTTTCTTGGCTTCAAGTTGAAGAAATAGAATTGATTTTATGATACGAGGAGATTGTTAGTGTACTTGGTTAACTTGTTTTAAACCGTCTGCAGGTGGCCTCCATATTTTTGCATTTTTGTCTGACGGCCTACATACCATGTGAAATATCACTCGCTAGACCTAGCCCAACAATTTTACATTTGATCGTAGAATTTTTAACTTTAACTTAATTTTTAACTTTTCTTTAACCATATCTGAGAGGTGAATAAGACAGGATTAGATTTCTGTAGTGTTAGAGGGTTTTTAACTTTCAAAGGAATATTTATTTACTGTAAATATAATGAAAAAGAAGGGGAGTACATGTACTGGTATATTTAAACAAATTCAAGACTGTTTTTAATTTGTAATAAATATAAAATCAAGTTCTGTACACACTCTGAGATTGACAAATGGAAAGTGACAACAGATGTACCCCCCCCCCCCCCCCCCATACAATGTTATCTACCTGTATTTCCATCAAGTGGAGAAACTATAGTAGAGCAGGCTTGGAAATAATGTACCTGATATTTTTAACTTTGTGCCGGAGATGTATTAATAAAAATACGTAAATAAGAGCTAGCACTAAAAGACAAAATGACAGGCATCCGAGGGATTGTGCCTGACAAAGCTTGAATTTGTGCCTGACAATATTTCTGATGGTAGCTGTCAAAGCTTGAATTCATACCTGACATTTTTTCTGATGGTTCCTGACAAAGCTTGAAATCGTGTTTCTGATGGTACCCGACAAAACTTGAATTCGTGCCGGACAAAGCTTGAATTCGTGCCTCACATTGTTTCTGATTGTACCTGACAAAGCTTGAATTTGTGCCTGACAATGTTTATGATGGTACCTGAAAAAGCTTGAATTCGTACCTGACAATGTGATCTTAATTCCTGGCTGGTATAAAATTAAAAACTGTCCAGGCAAACTTGTGATCATTCTTAAGACAATTATAATAAACCCTGATCTTATAATTTTTTCATCTCTTTTCAGGTGACCGTAGAAGCTACCTTGGAGCACCCATTTTTTGTGTTTGGCCAGGGTTGGTCTTCGTGTTGTCCTGCTCGTACATCTCAGCGCTATGGACTAGATTGTCAGAAATTAACAATAAACGATGTGTGTATATCTTTAACTCATAAAGACGTTACATTAAAAGCTGCGGAGATCAGTCAACAACAAGCTCGAATGTCCCCATCAACCTCGCGTCAAGGTCAAAGTCAAGATTTTCCATTTTCAGAAACACAAAGGTCTGAAGGACATAGTGTGACACCTCAGTCTCGTTCGTCGGAAATGAGTCAAGAATCTTATCAGCAGAGATCATATTCGTTGGAGAATTTAGAATTTAATCCGAACAAACGAAAAGATAATCAGAATATGGAAAGAAAACAATGATAAAGTATATTTAGTTTTAAAAGTCGCTTAGTAAGATATGAACACCGTCGTCTGTTGAGAGAAAAAATGGCTGAGTTTTGTTTCTTATTAGAAGATGATGATGAGAAATGTCTTGTTTGGTTTTTTTTTTAGTAAATTTTTTTCTCAGAAAGTGCTTGGTTTATTGTGATGACAAGATGTGGAATATCGAGAAACTGGACGATGTTTACGTAGGAGAGATTAACCCAGTGATAAATGTTATTAGTTATAGTTACTAAAGAAAAGGAATCCATTACTTTTCTTTTTTATCATTGTTAATTTTTGAAAGCCATTTAGAAATGTTATCTTACAGTTCAAACCCTCTGTGTTGCCATGAAATATTCTTAATATACAAGAATGTAGGACCATCATTCGTTTTGGGGGTTGTTTTTTTTTATGTTATCTTTTTTCAGGTCAGTTTGGGAAAAGATCCGCTAACTCTAACCCTTGTGATATCCAACTTGATGTGTGGAAATTCCAAAATATAGATTCTCACATTAGTATAAAAACCAGCTCACATTTCATTCAGGCCGTTTGTATGATTTTAGTACCTCAATGATTATAACAAGTACCACCATACTATGGACCAGGAACTAACTATGACTTCATCTCAGCTATCTTAAAATTGCAATGTCAAATCAAAATTCGAATTCCGCTAATCAATGCATAATTTTGCAAGGAACAAGCATACCAAAACTCATTTTGATTGTATATGAATTGACAATCTGATTAGAACACAGATCTGAAATATAGATCGGGGCCCTTATTCACGAAAACTTAAACTAAGATACAATCGAAATTTTAAGAAATACTGCAATTGGATTGGCTGACCAATATGCAAATTGGATATTTGCAAATTGATTTTACTGGTCAGCCAATTGAATTGCAGTATTTCTTAAAATTTCGATTGTATCTTAGTTTAAGTTTTCGTGAATAAGGGCCCGGTATTTTAATCAGATTGATGAATTGACAGAGCTTTAGACTTTGTTGGAAGAGCATCGCCGCCAAGAACAAGATGAGATGACGTCCAGTTTCTGGTCAAAAAATTACTGAAGAAACAATTCAGGATATATGTCCATGTAAATTAGATCTCCTAAAATGAATTGCAATCTGATTAAAACACAGATCCTATTTCGTTTTGTTTTTTATAATTCAAAATTTCGTTTTACTTGTCTGTACTACACTAGGATCTGGGAGAGTTGTTATATAACCCACATTCTGATTGATGTGAGGGATTAGCCAATGAAACAGTCTGTTACGGCGAGTTTTTGGCATGCTGTGTACGGAACTGTGGGTAAACCACTAGAAACATCAACGCTGATTGATTGATCAATGTCTGAACCCTGACACGACCTTCCACTACAACCGGTCAGATCTTTATGTAGTGTAGGCCATCGAAAGTATAAAAAAACAAAACAAAATATTCATGTGTATTTTAATCAGATTGAATGGATTGAAACTTAAAAGCCATATTTAAGGCAGTGTTTTTCAACCTGGGCACCTTAAGGATCTGAAAAAAAATGATGGGGGTCCACAAAGTCAAATAGAGCTGCAGGGGAAAAGGGTTCCATGATTTTTCTTGAATAAGACAGGCCTTTATTGAATGTAAATGAATTGCTGGTGTATTTATTGCAATATTGTTATTAATATTTTGTACACACTATTTGATAAACCTATCCAATTTTTCAGTAATATTTAATGAATAAATGAACTTTGACCTGTACTTTTGTAAATTAAGGAAAATTTCAGGCAGCACAAACCGCGTGAATAGACAAGATCCATCTTCAGACAGAGAAACATCACAATTTAAATATATATGATTATCGAGTCAATGATGGACATTCCATTCCGCAATTGTAATTTACAATTACATGTTTGTGTTTTGCGCTGCTTAAAAACCTTCACTGGTTGACATGAATACTTGAACCATTTGTTGAATAAAAGAATTGTCACAAATTTGTAAACTGTTAATTGTAAAAGAAACATTTATCATCATTGATAAAGGAACATAAATGCATGCGTGTTCAAACAATATCTATCTGAAAATTATCATGAAGTTGCTGAAAGTCAATTTTTTACAATGCAAGGGGAATAACTCCACTTAACAGAGGTGGCTGTTATGAAATGTCAGTTACAATGAAATGGTATGATCCAAATATCTCATTTCTAAACTTTAAACAAAAATTTACTTAGATTTTATTTGTATCGTCAATCTTCTTTCAAATCTATACTGATGGCAAACGAATAACGCATTAAGGTGACATAAATTTCAACTTCTCTGATAAACATGGCAGCTCAGATGCAAATCAGTGTTACATTATTCCTTATCCTGATGGTAAATTTTAACATGCTAATATTTTTTGACAAAAAATTATTTTTTGAGTCATTCAGTTTGATATTTTAAAACTATTTGTAACCAGAGTCAACAAAATGAAATATAAGTATTGTTAAATGAACTGAATCTATAATGAGAAATTAAATGTTTTATTTAAATAGAAATGATTTTAAAGTATATTATCCGTATCTGTTGAATAGTTTATCAGTGTTTGAATTTTTATCTTGTATAAATTTTTTATTGAAAATGTATTTCAGGGGTTTCCTCAAGTGTATTTACTGGTTATTCAATTTGAAATGACTGAACTGAACGTATCTTTCACTGCCACTGGCTCATTTACCAGTGTACTATAGATAACTTGTTCAACCATGTGTTCACTGATTTGATCATGTGTTCAATGATTTGATCATATGTTCACTTATTCAACCATGTGTTCACTGATTTGATCATGTGTTCACTGATTCCATCCGTTTCTGGTTCAATCATATATATTTAACTTGTTAAATCATGAATTAGTTTATTCAACTGTGTTCAATGAAATGGTCACTAGATCAATCATGTGTTCCTTGTTTTGACCATGTGTTTTCTGTTTTGACCATGTGCTTTCTGTGTTCTCTGGGTTGAACATGTGTATACTGGTTCTAAAATGTGTTCACATGCCAGTTTCATATATTAATCATAAGAGTACAGATGTAATTGTGTCTTCAACTGGTTTCTGACGTTCTACATGGTTGAATAATGTTCCATGGTTCAAGCATGAGTACTCTGGTTTCAGGCATTCTACATGGTTGAATAATGTTTCCATGGTTCAAGCATGAGTACTCTGGTTTCAGGCATTCAACATGGTTGAATAATGTTTCCATGGTTCAAGCATGAGTACTCTTGTTTCAGTCATTCAACATGGTTGAATAATGTTTCCATGGTTCAAGCATGAGTACTCTTGTTTCAGTCATTCAACATGGTTGAATAATGTTTCCATGGTTCAAGCATGAGTACTCTGGTTTCAGGCATTCAACATGGTTGAATAATGTTTCCATGGTTCAAGCATGAGTACTCTGGTTTCAGGCATTCTACATGGTTGAATAATGTTTCCATGGTTCAAGCATGAGTACTCTGGTTTCAGGCATTCTACATGGTTGAATAAGGTTTCCATGGTTCAAGCATGAGAACACTGGTGTGAGGCATTCTACATGGTTGAATAATGTTTCCATGGTTCAAGCATGAGTACTCTGGTTTCAGTCATTCTACATGGTTGAATAATGTTTCCATGGTTCAAGCATGAGTACTCTGGTTTCAGGCATTCAACATGGTTGAATAATGTTTCCATGGTTCAAGCATGAGTACTCTGGTTTCAAGCATTCTGCATGTGTTTGAATAAGTTTTTCATGGTTGAATCATAATCACTAAGTGATTGTAAGTGATTATATTATAATGTGTTCACAGATATAATCATTTGTCACATTTTCTGTCAAATCTTTAGGGGGATTATTTTTAGGCCAAATGTCTTCAAAGTGCTTAGTTATGTTGTTATTACTGTCTGTTCATCCAGCATCAGGGGCCTTGTTCACCAAAACTTAAGCTAAAAAATTTTTGTATGAAGCCTTTTAATTGGCTATCTGATTAAAATACAGATCTGTATTTCGTCTCGTTTTTTTATAACTTCGCTGGTCTACACTACATGAAGATCTGATTGGTTGTAGTAAAAGGTCGCGTCAGAGGTCGTACGAAGGACTTATGGCCCTATGACGTCAGACATTTATTAATCAATAAGCGTTGACATTTCTGGTGGTTTACCCACAGTTCCTTGCATCACATGCCAAGAAATCGCCGTAACAGATGGTTTCATTGGCTAATCCCTCACGCCATCCAGAACACAAGTTATATAACAACTCTTCCAGATCCTAGTGTAGTATAGACAAATCAATAGTCTCTATCATCCAGAAAAATATTCTACGAATATTAGTCTGGACAGGTTGTCAATATTTGAGAAAAATTGGCTAGATAATCCGGTCTTTCACATTATCATAAACAATGTCTAAGGGAGGTAACTCCTCTTAAAACAAGATGTTTACGCCCATGAAATTAATTTAAGAATGTCATTTCAAAAAATCCAATTGATTGGATGCGAATTCAATATCTAACACTCTTAATTATTTATTGTAAAATTTCTCTCTTCATGGGCCATATCTATGCTTTTAAAATTAATCCTAATTCGTCATCATGATTCATGTTTGTTTATATTAATGCAAGAATTATGGGATTTATTGTGGGAAGGGGTGCAACTTTTACTTGACTTGGCTAAAGAGACTGGATAATCAACCACATTAAAAACCAAACTCCCGGTTACGCATGGGCAATGGACTTTACGTCAAATATTGACAACCTTCCCAGACCCTCCGTATGTTGAAGACTAGGAGGTTCTGGGTGACCGAGACTAACAAATCGAATGAAATTTTGAATTATAAAAAACGAAACGAAATAGGTTCTATGTTTTAATCAGATTGTTTAACTGGTTGAGAGTGAAAATCCTAGTCACATTCTTCAAATCTTTTAGTTTAAATTTTTGTGGATATGGTTTCAGACCATTATCATTTTTGATAAGGTTTCATTTCCAGGTAGATTTAGATTCTTTACTTTGTGGATAAAATGAATATGTTAAAATCTTCAATTTGTAATTTAACTGATGGGTGATTGATACACTTGAACCTCATGTTATCCACGTGTTCAGTCCTGTTTTCATTGGTTTAGTGTTGTATCCACTGGTTTAATCTTGTATTCACAGATTCAGTCTGGTATTCACTGTTCAATCTTGTATTCACTGATTTGATCTGATATTATTCACGAACGGTTTTGTCCATTTCAGTCTTGTAATTACTGAGTATAATTGTTGAATGTTTTAAGTTTGTTGCTTGTGAGTTGTTACAGTAGATGACTTATGTTTAATTAATTTGATTGTCTTTGGGCTGAATTTCTTTTGTCAGTTCAGTTAAAACAGATTTGGTTTTGTCGTCATTAGACGTTAAAAGAATTGGATAATACAAATTGTGAGAAATGAAAACTGAATTGAATTTCATGTTTTAGCTTACAAAAATAATTGACAAGTTAAAATTTAGAATATGAAGGAAAAGTTAAAAGCTTGCGAATTAATAAAAACTTGTTTAAAAATTGCCTTGAAAAGGGGACAAGAAATCAGCCCTTGTCGTAGTTTGGTTAAATGTTTAATATAGTGGTATATAAACTTGTAAATATAAATATACAGTATATTATATATATATTATATTAATGAATATCCTTGTTATAACATATATTATGGATAATATTGAATGTATGTACAATGTATAATATTAAATATTTTATGTGTGTACATAACATATAACTTAACCTAAATACATACACTATTTTTATTCACTTCATGAGTTCATGCCACAAAATCTTCTACACGTTAATTGTTTGTAGATATATTAGAATTACAAGTTACTCACTTACAGGACATCATTTTCAAAATTTTGCTAGTTGGGTCCTAGTAGTGGCCAACAATATTATGATTAAATGAATTTTATTCAGTTTATTCATGCAAAAATATTTCGAGCCTCTAGTGTATATTTTGGCAGTGTTAAATAACTTGAAGGAAATTCTTCAAATATCTAGCAAACAGGCAAGATGTTAAGTTATTATCAGTACTTATTATTGTGCTAAGTTTGGTATTATATTAAATATTTAAGTGTGGTTTCATGGTTGAGAGTGGAACATTAAAGCTGCATTATGTAAGAGCTAAATCTGCCTTTTGTTTGGGTTCATATGTTATATAAATCATTAATTAGACATTTATTCACATGTCATGCCCATAGTCAACTCTCTAGATCATCGGATAGTGTGGATTTTCAACAGATTTAAACACGATTACCAGTTAATAATTAAATTAAGAAATAGATAATCCAGACTTTGTTTATTATTGTAACAATAGTAGCAATGACAATCGAGACTACGCTGTTCTTCAAATGGCCATAAAGTTACTCAGAATGGAGTAATTTGACTGAAATTTTCAACATATTCCCTTTTCATTATCTATTTTTTACCTATTATAACTAGATCTGTCAGGTCTTTTTTTTAATCAAACTATGGTTGAGATTAGAGAATCATAAATCGTAAATAATAGACATTATCAATCATGGCATTTAATATGGCATAGGTTTGTGGCAATATTTCATTGAAACAGAAAACATGTCTCTTCTACATTGTATCATCAAAAGATATCATAATCAGATATATATATATATTATATTGTAAATATGTAATCAAGTTCACAGTATGGTGTGTACATTTAAAGAATGGATAAATCATCTCACCCTGCTTATTTTTAAAAAAAAAAAAAAAAAAAATTTGAGGAAAAAAAGTCACATGTTCATTTATATGATTTAAAAAAGAATTTATTTAATTCTGGATAGTTCAAATGGAAAAAGTATCTAGATAGTATGTATCTATTCTATTGTCTTGATATCACATTAAACCAGATATTATTTTCTCCTTTAATCTTCTCCAGGAAAAATAAGCAGAGAATGATTACATTTGCTTTATAACTGTGTATGATGTGTATTGCTATCAAACGTGTATATTGATCGTAAATTTATCAACATAATGCTGTTAAATATTGGTCATTTATTATAATTATTCACGTGTGTCAACTTCATTGATATCTATTGAACCATATAATTGAATTCAAATTTTTATAATTAGGAGAGGGTTTGGGTTATTAAAATGTACTATTAATAACTTAAATGAGAATATCATAAGTTATATTGAATATGTCTTTTTTAATGTAGATATCAAATGCTCTTTATTGCTGTGCAAAACATTGCCAGTCTGTATAACCCATGTCCCATAGGCTTAACACCACCTGTGGCCTCCTTTTTTAAAAAAAACTTGAAGTAAAATTTATACTGGTAAATGAAAAAAGTTTTCATTGGTTCAAGGTGCGTCATGTTAAGATCTTAATCTGCCTATTGCAGGTCTTTATTTTGGCTTCAAATGTTATATAAACTATTATCTAGGCATTTAGTAACATAACAAGCCTATAATCAACTCTCTAGATCATCAGATGGCGGAGATTTAATTGGATTGAAGTATGATCGCCATTTTATGATTTAATTAAAAAATGGAGAAGTGAGGCTGAGTCTCGAATCTGCCCAACACCCATAACTTCGTCCGGTTTCCTCCCACTGCTAAAGACCCCTATGCGCAAGTGAATTATTGAAATAAAATTAAACCATATGTTAGTCCCAAAATGACCTAGTTGTGTCGAGTGGACGTTAAACCCCATTTCTCTCTCCCATAACTTCGCTGAGTTGAATGGTTTCATTATCTATTTTAATCTATAGCAAGAACGTCCAGCTCTTTATCTAAATCTCACATAATGCATCTTTAATTAAGAGTTAGAATTGTAATATGCATTTTAACCCATCGCCATTGGAAACACTTCATCCTTAAACTATTTTAGTGTAAGTTTTAGAGAATAAGACCTTATGGGCCACAATTCTGATAAAATGGTTTTAACTTGGGAGTGTAAATTCATTTTAACTCCTTGGATACAATAATTATTAGTTATCCACAGCATTGCCATGCCAGTATGTGCGTCTTAGAAATTTTGTTCCACTCGGATTTGATCATTTCCATCAGAATATTTGATACGTAAAGATACATTATGTTAGATTTAGATAAAGAGCTAGCCATTCTTGCTATAATAGTTCGAAAATAGATAATGTAACATGAATAATGTGAAAATTTCATTCATATTACTCTATTGCGAACGAAGATATTAGCCTTTGAAGGTTTGACAGACGTGTGCAATAATTTCAACCACCACCCTGGTTGTTCGAAGCTAAGTCTCGCTCCTCCATTTTTAGCTTAAATCAAAATATGGCTGAACTGTTCTAATCTATTTAATATCGGAGAAATCTGATGCCATCAAGAGTTGATTATGGCCTGGATAAGTTAATTAATGTCTAATTAATGATTTAGAAAACATTTCAGGCCTAAAGAAAGACCTGTGATAGGCAGATTTAGCTCTTGCATAATGTATGTTTAATACCAACATCTATGAAGTCAGTAAAGGCACTTTTAAAACCTACTGTAATAATTACAGTATAATTTAAGAGCAATAAAATTTAGTTATGACAAAAGAATCTCAATACTATCCAATCAAATTACTTGACCATGAGTGTGAAAGACACTAACTAAAATTTGAAAATAAATCTTCTAAAACCAAAATAAGTAAATTTTCACCATAAGCTTAAACTGACAGGATCGCTTTTATTTGGGTGCAAATCAAAATGTTAATTTAATTAGTTGAATTTTTATAAGAAATGATTTTCTTTCTGCTTACACTGTGGAAATGAAAATTTAATATTTTAGTGCTTGTCGTATAACTAATCCTTGAAATTTTGACTCAGATCTAATTAGATTTATCATTACTTCTATGAAGTTGGCATACCATTACAAAAACTTGTGGATTTAGCATCTTGATGTGGAGCCTATGGTTTTGACAGAGTGTATTGAAATCATGGACTGAATGACATATTTCCTCCATCTTTTTGAATTTATTTTATGATATATATTATATATAAGATAATTTGATTGGATCGTTGAATGTTGTGTTGTTGTGAAACGTGGCCTGTTATTTGTTTGTTTTTTTTCATGTTATTGACAAATGTGGGGGAATTAATCATCTGTCGGAGGCTGGGGTCTTTCTGTTCCTTGTCCTACGTCAACATTAACTTGAATAAAGTCTTTCATTATAAAAACTACAATATTTTTCTTATGTTATTTGTTTCAAAATCGTGAACAGGGTAGAACTTCAGTCTGTTTCCCGCTTGTCGTGGGCTAACAAAGTGTGTTTAGTTGTGCCGTTGGGATTAAACCGACTAAGACAGGGGATTTAATTGTCAGGCCCTCTATATGGCACCGGCAGTAATGTCATCTATACTTTGTCCACAAAGTTTTAAGAAATATAAGTTCATTGGGGGGGAGGGGGTGGATGGCTGAATGGTTAGCGTGCGTGCTGTATCATAAAGTCTGTCATTGAGTCGACTGGCGTGGTTTCGAATCCCCGGTTGTACGTGACAAGGAGTAGGGTCGCCTCTCCAACCTCATGGGTTTTCTCCAGGTCCTCCGGTTTCCTTCCACTGCTAAAGACCCCTATGCGCAAGCGAATTGTTGAAATAAAATTAATTAAACCATATGTTAGTCCCAAAATGACCTAGTTTGTGTTGAGTGGACGTTAAACCCCATTTCTCTCTCTCTCTAAGTTCATTGGCATGCAGGAGTTTGGTGATGCCCAAGTCTATTCCTTGATTGTAAAATCCCAAGAAAAAAGTATGACCTCGTGAACTGAAATGAAATGTTGTTTAAGGTCCCGCTATTCTGCTCTGATGCGACCTGGTGCTCAGAATTATGAGAAAGTAAGACATTTAAATACAACTAGAACTGCATAAAAGCAGTACTGACATGTTTCTGTACGTTAGGCGACGCCTTGTCACGTCCACAAAACCATGAACTATTGAGTATAGTAACATCCAATACCTATTAAAGTGGAAAAACCTGTCATTTTGAACTTTTAATAAAAGCGTAATTTATACTTCAAGACCGAACTTTTTGATAATAGTTGTCAGTAGACGTCAGGGTCATCATATTTGCAAAGGTCAAGGGTCATTGAATGGCTAGGTCACAGATAATGGGTCAAAAGTAAACAAAAATTCAAAGTGAAACCGGGAGTAAACAATATCGAAATTTAAAAATTTGGCTCCCTAAGAATTGTTGCCGTTTGGACTAAGTTCAAAACAAAAAAAATAGATTTCGAAAATCGGTATCAAAATGGCGGCTGAATATTGATTTGAAGGTTTTTTTTGTAAAATCCAATATTGCGGCCAAACGTTTGAAAATGTTATTGTTGTAGAGGGGTCTGGGGGTCGTTGCAACAAACAATCCAGAACGGGTTCAAATCTTTATTATAGTATAAACCAGGCAAGTAATAAAAACCCTGCAAATATACAATTCAATATAATATAAGTTTTCCAAAATAAAAGAGAATATCAAAATACAAACATCATAAACACATTATCTAACACCATTACTACAGCACACAAATAAATCTGTGCTACACAAAGTAAATTACTGTTTGCAACAAATAGTAAACATGGTACCGGTACTTTAACTAAACTACTCTATATTTACATTCTAAACTAACTTACCCGAAGTGGGGTTTTAAATACTTAGATTAGCTAAATGTAATCAATCTAACAACCTGAAATAGGATGATATAATAATGTGTGATGTATGTATCATGTATGCAAATAAACTTGACCAACTTGATCCATAAAAACTAACAATTTTTTTTACTTCAGTATTAAAATATCAAACTACAAAGTTAAAGATACAGCTTATATAATCAGTAAAACATAATGCAACATACCTGGTAAATAACTGCAATTCTTTACAAAAACTTCACAGAAATCAATCTCCAAAAACTAAACTTAGACACTACTTTGTTAAAGCTCCTCTTTGAAACAAAAATGGTTAACAACTGAATGTATCTGCCAACAAATACATCACATGACCAAGACACAATGAAACTCAGTTAAATGTACTCACTATTATTAAAGTAACAACAGCTTAAAGAAACTGACAGAAGAAATGTAAAATCTTAAAGTGGGGGTTTAAAGGTGCTTACTAACATGTGCTGTACTAAAAACATCAAAAATTAATATACACAAAAAATTGTAAAATACTTTCTATTTTACCACCCGTAACATTATCGAACAAGGTCTCTGTAAATGAAACTATGAAAGACAATATCTGGGACTAACACCACCATATGCAGAGAAGGGAAAATTCGCAAGGCATCAGTTGACAAATAACCGAGATATTGGTAATCTGGGATTATTTTTGTTCCATATATCCCTGAAATACTTCCTGTTTGTCAAAATGACACAATTTATATTTACTAAATAGTTCAACCGAGGCCAACAATATATACTGATATTTGAAAGAGTGTTTACTTCATGCAGTTTTGGATGCAAACTCTGACTAGAATCCCGAAGGTCCGAAACACTTTGGGGCAGCTTGTTCACTTGTTGATTTAAAAATTTCACTCTTTGATTAGATAACATGTCCCCGCCGACGCCGACCCCAACCCTGACATGGATGATCAGGAACGTCCCACATAGTGTAAAATATTCTATTTTTAGTTTAAAATAAACCCATTTGTGTCAAAATCCATTCGGGACAGGAAATAGCTTTTTATTTTATGGTGCCCCTTAAATTTACCTGCGAGAAAAATGGACTTCCAGGGAAGAAGGGACATAACTCCTGTGTGATTTTGTAGGGATCAGACCACGGTTATGAATTTGCATGACTAGCTTCCAACCAATCTGTTTCACATAGAATTACGAGTCTTCTAATATCTCTGTAAAAGATGACTGTCTCTAACATGTGCCGTCATAGCACGAGGCGTCAATCATTGGCTGAATGGCGCGTACATTGTTTATATAAGACGTTACTGCTTCGGGCAGAATGCTGCCTTTTAGTCATTTTAATACCTATTTACACTAAATAGGAAATAATTTTTACCTACAAATACGTCAAACGTCTTTTTTATTTTTCTAATACATCAAAACAATGTTTTAGAATTTAATTTGTCGGTGGAAATTAATGTCATATATTAATGTCATATTGATGTCATCCTTATCAGTGATTGTAGCGGCCTAGCAAATATTCACTGCTGATCAGTGTGGCTTCCAACACCAGCACGATTTAGCCAAGACACCACCTATAAATCATACCCTCGTCCTCACACCCAGCGATATTATCTGCCATATCACTTCGATGGAAGCAGACGTTAAATAAAGCTATTTCACACATACACCCAGATTAGATGCTTAGCCGGCTTCCTTTTTCGGCGATTGCTGCTTCGATTCTTAGCAAGACCGATACTGAGTTGACTGTTTTACTAACTCCAAAAGTCAATAAATTGCTTAAAATTCCTGATTCACAAATTCATTGCTCTCACGTTTATATGTAGCCTACACACTTGAAAGTGTGCTTGGTTAAGTAAGATATCATAAACTACAAAAAATTCAATGAAACCGTCTAAAAATAATAGATTCACATCTTTAATATGTGTATAACAACATTGAAAAGTACAGTATCCACACAATCTATTTTTGCTTATTAGGATGCCACCATTCATTTAAAGAAATTTGTGTTTCTTCTTTGAAAACGCGCCATATTGTGGTGTGACCTGCCTGTGTACGCCGCTCTGTATGGCCGTTATATCTTAAAGGAGCTAAATCGCTATTCTTCGGCACCAAGAAATGGACACAAATGGGTCGCAACGTATATAATAATGTAATATGAATGTATATAAACTGATTTACATTTAATCGTTTCTGTCACCTTGAACCTAGATGTGTGTAAAACGAAGACTTCATTTTGTACAATTCATCAAAAATATATTTATGCTCTTTATTGTGCATGATGTTATTTTAATAAAAACTTCAGAAAATAAAATGATATTTTTGCACACGACAGAACTTTTACCTCGTATACAGAATAAAGGTCGATTCGGTTCCTTGTTTTTACGTATCGAGAATTCATTTATATTGGCATCACATTTCTTGAGAGATTTTTAACAAAATCTTTATTATGACGCTATATCTTTGACTTGTGTTGTATATTTTTTTAATATCTATTTTTCTGTTTTACTTAAAACTGTACTGTGGTATATACAAAGGGGCGTCGGGAGGGGGGGGGGGGGCGACTCGGCTGCATCCAGGGATCCCTTTATAATCAGTGATAAAAAAATTGTTGTGACATAAATAAATGTTACCACAAGGCTTAACAAGGTGGGTATAACATTTTTGCAGCTATAGGTAATACAATCAAGACATACACATTGGATTTGGGTGAGTGTGACAGGCCATGACCAGAATATGCTTCCTTTTCACTGATGATGCACAGGTCCTAGTGGAATTTCCAGCCAGGGGCCCCGTGTAAGCTTAATACGGTCCTGTTAATTCCTGCCATTATTCCACTGACATTCAATATCCTTATACGGAACATACGTGTTTGTAACATGCTCGTTCAACCATAACCATACTAAATGGCCCCCATCTTCATTAACCCGATAAATTGAGAAAAATAGGACGTTAAACCTTATTTCATTTCATTAATTAATCCATTAGAAGAGTTCTACGTGGCCCATTGCCCATCAATTATTGTATATGTTACACTGCATGCTCGTGAATATTATTGAATTAATTAAATGGCCTATAAAATATACCAACGTGGTATGCTGAATCCCAGAGACTATTTTATGGAGGTATGGTAAGGTAAGTGTGAATTTTGTCTCATATTTAAATCCCGTCTTCATAGCCCACTCGGTGCTGAAAAGTGGGACGTTTTAACACCAGATAAGAAACGTCAACTTTCGACCCTACGTGTGTCGGGATAAGAGATGGTACTATAAATTTCTTTCTAGGATATGCCGATGTGATATGACGTCGGAATACAATAAGAAAAACTGTCATTTTTAAACTTCAAAACAACGATTGAATTAATTATTGTTATTTATTACATTTCTGCCACATCCAACTACAATTAAGCATATAATCCTACTTGACACGGGTTAAAATCATCTCCTTTAAATCGAAGCGTTAAAAGCTGGCTCTACCCGACATTTGAAAACTCAATAGGTTTGACGTCTTAATGTCATGAAGGCAGGGCTAAACATAATGTGGACATCAGCCAATAA